GGTGCACTAGAAAAGCAGGAACATGACTGTCTTCTGTGTAAAATACTACATGAACCACCAATATTGCATTTAATTTTGTATAGTTTTATCCATTGATGAGAGATTAGACAATTTATTTAATTGTCAACGCTTAATACATATGTAATTTGGTTAGTAAGCCAACGGTCGATTGCATGCAGTCGCCTTCGATTTGACTTCCACTCTCTTTGAACTATTTTATAAGAAAATCGAATCATTGACAAGTAATCGTATGTCAAACCGCCCTTTCTAACATATTATTATATTATCATTGAAACTAACACTTTTTTCTAAGAAACGCCTCTTCGAATGTGGATGTGGTTCTAATAATTTTCTATTCATAATATAAAATATAAAAATCAATAATCTGTTCCTGCTAATTCTACATATTTGTAGTATATCTTATCTTTGATTGTTAGTTTATCATTAGTAATATAATAACAATTTTTCGTCACAACATTTTGGAAAAAAAAAAATTAATTGTATAAGAAAGATTAAACATATATACACGACTAAACTAATCCATATTGATTCGTGATATATGATTCCTTACGTAAATTTATGTTAAAAGTTCCTAATTACAGATTTTTTTTACATGTTCTTGATAGTAGTTTATAATTTCAGTATCAAAATTTCGGTTATATAAGAAAATAAGAAAACATGCATGTTCTATGATAGCGTTTCTAATTTATTTGGGAGAAATGTGACGCTATAATATTTGACATTTTACCAAGAACAAAAAAATGTGACGCTATAAAGGTAGAGTTTTGTGGAACTATTAGTTGGTAGATCACTACTACTGAGCTCTATAGATGAGTAATTAATAAAAGTTTAAACTAGCTTGTAAAATATCCAATGGAATCAAGTTGCAAAATAAAAATGTAAGAACAACCATATCTTGGAAACACTAATGAGCAAAATTTATTGAGGAGAGAAGATATCATCTTGAGGTTTGAGAAATTAGGATTTGGGTAGGCTAAGAAAATCCCAGAAGACATGGAAAACTCTCGTGCTTCGGTACCTCCATATAGTTCCAAGTCCTTATTGTATTTGAAAATTCAAAACATTAAATTATCATAATATTCCATGTATAGGTCATATATTTCTACATATAATAATTGATGTCATAAGGGAAATTGTTTTAGAAAGAAACGAATAAAAGTCACGCTCATTGACCTTTTAGCGGCCTATATAAACATATCATATACTCAAC